CTTCACCAAACACTTTCGATCTAAATTAGATTAAGCTCAACAGTTAAAAGTGTGTGCGTGTGTGTGCGTGTGTACTGTTTTAAGAATGACGGGAATCTAACTTTGAAAGAAGCTCTTACTTGTGGTGCTGTACGCTTAAATTAGATGAAACTAGCGAGTTGAAGGGACTCGTGAATTGTCGTTTCAGACATATTTGGTGAGCCGAGGGTTACTATGCAAATGTCCACATTTAAAACAGCAATTCATTCTTCTCTCCGTTTCTTTAAAGTCAAGTTACGAATTTATTCAATTCACTTTCAAAACCTAAATAAAAAATTGCGAATAAATGAATGGATATAAGGAACACAACGGGATTCGAGCCCGGATATTTATTATTGTGGCGATGCTAACAATCCCCAGCACAGCCACGGCTGTGCATTTGTATGTAATGAGATGGCGACTTGTCAAAAAAATGAATGTGAATTTTTGCCTGCGACGAATTCAGCAGCTTCAAGGAAAGTATTTGATGAAGAGGTTCAAAGGTCGATTTCATCAGAAAACGACCAACATTCTTGTTGACACTCTTTCCAAAGCAATCGCTTACCAAACACTTTCGACTGCTCGTCTTAACTTTTGCTCCAGAAAAGTCTTTCTCTTTCGCGATTGGCTGCGACATGCGTGTTCGAGTTCCTTCAGATGTCAATGAGGCTGTCCTTCGTCGCGGTCGTCAGGGTTGGGATGGAAAAGGGATGTCAGGAGATTTGTCGACTTGTCGCTTTAGTTGGTTGGAGGAGGTGGACGAAAGTTATTCATGATCTGACCTTGAGGTCCATCTTCTCTTCATGCTCCTCTCTTTGTCCTCTTTCAGACAAGCCGTTTGTGGAAAGCCTGACGGCGTCGCGGAACCCTCTGCCTCATGGAAGCTCCGTCAGTCTGGTCTGTCAAGCGGCCCCGCCTCCTGGCGAGCATCAGCTCCGTCTCGACTGGTCGCCGGGACTCGGAGCTGATCCGAGGCCTCCGATTGCGCTCGGCGTCAGAGACCGACCGCGGCTCGAGTTCACCTGGCACCGTATCCTCACGTCCAATCGGTCCGGCTACCAAGAGCCCATCTGGTGGGCGGAACGATGGAAAGGTGAGCGATGGAAGGTTGATGTGGCAAAATGCTGAAATTTATTTAGTGGTCTGTCTCTTGCCAATTTAACTACATCCAAGTAAGACCAAGTTAGGAGATTTTTCATGCTACTTTTAGTTTGTAAGTAGTAGTAGAAAAAGTGTGACAAAAATGCACATTTAATAATGATAGTTACTGTGGGATTGCTGTTTTTATGTAAGTTTTTTGCTCTTCTGCTTTATTCATTGATTATTCTGTCTCTTGCCAATTTAACTACATCCTAGTGACAGCAAAGTTGAGAGATTGTTCTTGCTACTTTTAGTTTGTAAGTAGTAGTGGAAATAGTGTGACAAAAATGCACATTTAATAATGATAGTTACTGTGGGATTCCTGTTGTTGCATACGTTTTTTGCTCTTCTGCCTTATTCATTGATTATTCTGTCTCTTGCCAATTTAACAACATCCAAGTAAAACCAAATTGGGAGATTTTTCGTGCTACTTTTAGTTTGTAAGTAGTAGAAGAAAAAGTGTGATAAAAATGCACATTTAATAATGATAGTTACTGTGGGATTGCTGTTGTTACGTAATTTATTTGCTCTTCTGCTTTATTCCTTAATTATGACACAAGGTATCCTTGTGGCCATCACATCAAAAGACTTTGATGTAGGATTCCGTGACAATTTGCAAAATGTGCCGCACTGAATTTATACCACATTGTGAACTATAAGAATAGCACCAATATTCTTTGTTGCTTCAAGATAGTCCGATAAGACGAGGCCAATGTCGACAGACACAAAGTGTTTCTCAAAAACCCAACTTAATCCCTTTTTTATTTTGGATAAACTCAAATCTTCTGCCTTCCGTTGCCTCTTATTGCTTCCACTTCTCGGCTCTTCGGCTCATCGTTGCTGTATTCAGCACATTTGGAACCCGAGACGGCCGATGGAATAATAATGTGCTCTACATGACTAACCTCTTCTACTTCTTCTCCAACCTCTGCATAAAGGACCTTTTCGGATGTAGCGTGATTAGGCTGTAATTTAGCCTCACCAGGTCGCGAACACACTCAAATGTACGAACAGCGCCACATGGAAATCCGTCCATTTCACGACAAAAACACATGCACGCAGTCAAGCTCTCATTTGTCATACACACACACACACACAATGCATGAATGCACACATGCGCAACACACACTTACACCCACATACAAGCATAGACATATGCACACAATCCAATTTTTGCCGTGCATTCTTGGCAATTGTAAAGGAGGCATCTTTTACCATTCACATTTACTAGCCTTTGAGAGATAACTTGCCGCCGGCCAAAAAAATAGTGGGTGCATACTGGCGCTAGTTGCCATGGCTGACGGAAGAAGAGGCCAGGAGGCCATCTTCATTCCTTCGTGGCTAGTGTACAGGAAACCATGAAGACAGAGAAGTCAAATAAGCAAAGGATCATGCTCTTTCGCAAAAAGTAAAAAAGGTAAGAACAGAACCGTTTTCCAGGCTTCTAGACCCTTAATGGAAGCAAATGGCGCTCGGATTGCGACAGTGCTCTAGAAATTTGGTATCATTTCTTGCCAAGTGCGAGGGCAAATATTATCTTCAACAGAATAGTTCACCCATTTTATGCCAATTTGCAGCATATCATTCCAATTTAATCTAGTTTCAATAAAATCCACTTGCTGCCCCCTCAGCCTTGGGACTCGAGTTTACGAGCCGAAAGCTGCTTTCACTTTCCATCTTTGCCTCCATTTGACATTCGGTCAGGCGACGGACAAGCGGGCAATCGCATCGTCCAGGCGGGAAACACAGTCTGGCCGGCTAGTTCGAGTCCGCTGGCGGGGAAACAACACGACGCATGGAGCTCGATGTTGCGGCTTGACGCTGTCCACGACAGCCTGGACCGCGAGATCGAGTGCCGCATCGCGGACAGTCGAGGACGACGAGCAGTACGACGGATTCAACTGGACATTCAATGTAAGCATCAGTACTGACCCTTTTGCAGAAATGCCCTAATCCGTTCGCCGGTCGGCTGTGCCGCCTCAAAACGGTGTCCAGCGAGCAGATGTGATGGGATTTTTGCCCAAAATTAGGCAGTTTAGACATTCTCGAGACAATTGCTTAAGGCTTCTGAAGATGATTTTAGAACTCATAAAGTGCGCTTTTCCACAGACCTTGGAGACGCCAGAAAATTTCACTTAGTCCTCCGTCTCTAAAGACAATTTCCTCCAGAATGGGCAAGACTGCAGTCCCCAACTCGCCTCATCGTTGCATCCGTATCAGAACC